AAAGCCGGGTAACAATATTGCTGCATTACAGATGTAACAGGCATATATCACCCTGCGCCAACATAGGGGAACATTGCCGCAGTATTATAGCTTTACTTCCTCCAAACAGATCACTTGATACACCAAAACGGCGACACGGATAAGAGCCCCCCCAGAAAAACAGGCGGTGGACAGACAGTGTAAAAGGGGCCACAGACAACAAAATGAATACCAAGGCTGAATTACAAAACCTTCCAGGACAGCTGAGCTCCCTCAGTTTTCCGTGAGGTCGTGGTCCACGTCGTCGCTAAGCCACATAGCCGCCCCACCTTAAACCCGGGAAGCTCCGGAGGAAATCCGGGTTAAGCGATCCGGTGGCTGATTGAAAGGACCGAGACTTGGCCTGCTATCGTAACCCGTCACTTCCTGCTCGCATGCTGCAGCCTGACTCGACCCGACACGGCTCTCAGAAAACTAGGAATCTTAAAATGATTAATATGTTTACTTAAGCTGATTGATTCTTTGATTGATCGAGTTGGAGGGCAATTACGCCAGTCCAAAGATCCAAAGTGTGTAAACAAGCCATTAGTCACGAGCCTTTCCTTCCTTGTGAAAAGTCCCGTGGAAATCCCAGCGTGACTCGCTCGCTTTGTATCCCTTTACTTTCCTGCTCGCGTTCCCGTCGGTGCACGAGTCGAATCCAGGTGACCTCTGTAATGGGCCGAGGGCAGGCTTGACAGACTCGACCGGCGGTTCTTCATCACAGAAGCGCAAATGACGGCGAAGGAAGGGACAATTCGGAGAAACTTGATTGCTTGCACATGTTTGAGCTGTTGCCCGCTGCTGCTGCCAGTGACCTTTAATCCCCATTTAAAATCTCCAAAACACAAGAAAACATGAATGGATGCTCATCTACAGTCGTTTGTTCTTCAAATCAATTGACGACTGTCCTCAGATCAATTGGGCTGACAACTGGACAGAATATTCCAACAAAATCATTTGAAAGGTGACACGGGGCTTAAAGTCCCTGTAAAGCAAAAATAACTAAGCCGTTATTTTCCATTTTCAAACGCCGCAAGCATGGCCGCAGTCTGTGCCGAAAACACGCCTACAAAAAAATTAATATATTGATATCTTTGTTGTTTATTCACATTTGAATTGAAGCTCATTTTTAAGAATTATAAATATAAATTTTACATGAGGTCATACTTCATTATGTTGTCTTACATCCATCCTATTCATCCTTTTTTAAAATACACAACAGTAGAACCTTAACATAATTTAAAAACATTATGTCTGTCTTTCATATGATATTGTATAATATATTGTCAGGTAATCCTTGTCGGCAAACAAACAGGTGTTCTTGTACTTCACGTCTGCTTTTGACAGAGTGACAGCTGGGAGGTCTTTGAATGTATCATCCCTGGACAACTTGTACACGAGAGAGCCTGCATCCTGCAACGCTCCGTGGACACACCTGCACTCACAGCAGGAAGCCACCCAAACATGTTGAACACTTCGCAACACTTTCACACATGCTGGGGTGGGGGGGTTTCCAGGTCAAAGAGTTACCGAGGTCCTTAAAATCATTGTCACATGTTATTCCGAGATGGACTTCATTCTTAATCCGAGTCTTCCTTTTTCTTTTTTTTTTCTTTTGAGTCCAACAAGTTATGGCGTTTGATCCCCAGCCAGAAGATCCAACAAGCAAGCTTTCCATCCTTACGGTCATCATTATATCGAAAGATAGGATTACAGACGATCCCTGAAGGCAATGTCCGAAATACTCAAATGGATTAATGATGGACGGATGAAAAATGTACAACAATTTGAAACAATTGCACATTTATGGAATAAAAACAATATTTTCCACCTATCCTTGACATAGCTAGCTAATCTACTGTGGCTAGCTAGCTAGACAGCTACAAAATAGAAAGATCACAAACAAGCTAGCTAGCTATGTCAGGTGATGCCTTCAGGGTTAAGTGGAAATCTTTGCTCGATAGCTTGCGAGATAAATAGGTGGATAAATCAACGCCTGACTTAGCTATCACAATAGAAAGACAGATGGATAGTGAGAAAATTAGTTAGACACGCAGTGAGATAACTATAGATAGACAGGTTAAACATTTGGGGACATTTGGGAATAATCACTCAGTTGGCTGAGGGAATCAGGATTTCAGACCGTCCCTGAAGACAAAACCTAAATTTTCGAACGATCGGGGGAGCACTTTCATGAGGCTATTAATCTGTGTGTGTGTGTGTGTGTGTGTGTGTGTGTGTGTGTGTGTGTGTGTGTGTGTGTGTGTGTGTGTGTGTGTGTGATCTCATCTCTTCCCGCTGCATACCCATCATGGTCCGGCGTAATTGGATGCGTGTGAAGTGAAATAGAGTCGCGGTGATGCGATTGGGATCTCGGATCGATATCAGCCGCCTGTGGTGCGGCCCTCTTCTTTGTCGTTTTCACAACCTCATTATCATCATACACTCCGTGTGTGGGCATGAGAGAAAGCGCGTGTGCTCGCATTATTGTGTGAATGGTGGGAGGTTGATTGCAGCCATTAGAGGAGACACCTGCCTCTCAGCCATCATGCACGCGTAGCACGTATTCTTCCATCATTTCTGCAGTGTTTATAGAAGACATCAGAGGTGTGCTACATTCGGTGAAAATTAAATGAAATGGCAGCTTTCTACCACTCATTATTACAAAATGGTTACCGCTGGAAATAATGACAACTTGACTGCCCATTTACTGTATAACTTTTTTTTATATATAAATAGCATTCGCGCCTAACTGGTTGAAGGTGGGCTCATGAACAACTGAGCACAGTCATTTTTGTCTCAGAGGCCTTTTTGAGGGGGAAATCCCCCCCCCCAATCCAAACCTGTTGGATCAGTCTGGATTTCATTCTATCTCACACAATGCCATTACGTCCTTCTTGGCACTTTTTTACGAACCAGAACCTGTTACATGCACAATTACAAGCCAGACAAAAGAAGTCAGGCCCTTGTGGGCCAGTCCAGATAACCTCATTATATGTTCCCGCCTATATATCACACAAGAGCATCTATATAAAGGTAATGTTGCCCCAGCAGGTCGCGCCATATGGCCCGTGTAGTTCTATTACACCATCAAAATAGAAACATCATCAGCTGGGGGGGTGTCAGAACCGCCGGGTAAGGTCAACGGCCAAGAGGGTGTCTGACTTCAAGGCCTCGCGCAGGCGAGGTTTCGGGGGCTATTGTTGTGACTCAAAGACCAACCTTTTAAAGCAGGCGCGGTCTTTTAATCGGACCAACGCCTGAACCTCGCCCTCCATATCACCCATACTTCACATATGGACACCTCGGGGGGAGGAAAAAAAAAAAAAGCACCTCTGGGAAGCTCGGGTAACCCAATAGCGTAAAGCAGCCTGTGCCCCTCCTCAAGGGGGGATGGAAGCTTCCCATTGGAGGCCACCATGAACCCACCGGGGAGGGGGCCCTCAGAGGAAGGGTGGGTTCCTCTCTTAGTGGGGTGACAATAGGATTACTGTCTTGGAAAACAGACACATTTGCAACACGGTGGCCTCATACGTCTTCTTAAAAATTTATATCACCATCTTGCATGTTTTTTTTTTTCTTGCTTTATGGCTACCGATCAATACTTTTAAGAGGGTGACTCATATTGTCTGCTATCTTTAGCTACAATTTATTTGTTAGCTTGTAGCACCGCACGCGCACACACACGCACACACACACACGCACGCACACACACACGCACACACACACACACACGTTGACTATCATTTGTGCAAAACTGCCTCATCTCCATTGTAAAGATATTGTTATGCCAAGTGCCACTTGCCTTGTTTTGAGTGACCTGCATGCATCTTTAAGTATGTGAGTGTGTGTATGCGGACCCTGCACAATGCCATCAGACCAAGCCAAGAGACACTCCTGCCTCCCTTTCTTTAATGGCTGCCATAATTAAAAAAGCTTTTAGAGCAAGGAAGGGGTGGGGGGTGAGCCACCAGAATGGTACGGGACAGGGGGAGTCAGGCGGGTGAGCTTTGATGGCGGGATGGCCTGCCCAAAAAAATTTAATAAATGTAATGTATTCTTACTCGTTCCCCCCCCCCCACCCCCGCACATTATTTTTACACCCACCGCACACTTGTATTGTTGTTACATCCCTTAGGAAACGGATGGATGCTTATTAATGTAACCTTGAAGCTGTCAAGGTTAGATAATTTGGAAATGAGAAATTCCACAACAGTAGAATTTTATTGAAAATCAGCATCCGCACACGAACGTGCGTCTTTTGCCGGTATATGTCCAATTTTGGCGGAGTACGAAGTCTTTAGCGTCTTTCTAAAAGTGCGGTGACAGTAGCCATTGCTGCGCCACTGCCTTTTTTTTTTTCTTATGTGCAACCTAGCGACGTTTACATTGGGCCCCTTGAAATGAGAAACAGGCGTTCACAAATTTCATCTTTTTTTTCATTTTTCCATCACCCGCAACGCAAACATAAAGTATCAGGTGTCTCGGTGTTGTGGTGTATCGGCAGTTCCCATAACAAACAGGCAAAGTGCGGTGGAGGTGCGTTGGTGGAGGCGAGGAGCGCGTTTAGGGTTGTCAGGAAATGGATGTGGCGCAAGTGTTTCAAGCTGTGCGGTAATCCTATAAGAGATGGCACCTGGAGGTCCTCATTTACATTATGTAACGTATTCATGCCATTAGAAATACAATGCCAGCGTTTGCTAAAGCGCCTTAATGCCGAGCGTACCAAACAAGAATGGAAACAATTA